GGCAAGCTGACATAAAGTCATAGAATCGGGCTGTACACCTGGGAGAATGAATGAAGGAAAAGTTGGATGGAAGGAAAAGGTAATGTTCGCAATGTACTAAATGTTTTATGTTCACTATTCTATCTAATTCTCATACCCACCTGTCACATAAACACTGTTGTTTTCATTTAAAGATTAGGTCACTGAAATTCAGAGAGGGTAGGCGACTTGCTAAGGTACACACAGAAACTACATGGTCAAGCCATAGGGGGAGTCCAATTCTGAGGTCTCCAAAGTCCTTCAGTTACTTACAGCACAAACCATGTCTCATGATAACAGTTATAACACATAAATTAAAGCCTGATGAGTGAAGAGTGTATATTTCACATGGATAGCATTAAGATCTAAGTGAGGCTTGTTTTTGTTTTCCTACTATTTTGTCCTCAGGCAATACTGTAAAAAAATCTTTTAAAATTCCAGGTCCTCAGGAGGTCATTTTAGTGGTCCTGGAAATTGTAAAACAAATTGTTGTGAACAGGCTTTTTAAATTGTTTCTTGGCAGGAATTGAATAATCAAGTGCAATGAATTTAATTGATTACAGAAGAACGTTCCTTTGAGCTGATGCAGTGACTGTTTTTGGTTTGTCTGTGGCTTAAAATGTGAATTGATGTAATGACTACCAATGTTAGGTTTTACTATTGGAAAAATCTTCAGTGGGAAAAATTGGAAATGCTTGATTTGAACTGTTTCTTAAATGATGTCTTTCAATATGTAAAAGTGATTATCTGCCTGTGGCCTCTCTACTTAAATCTTACCTTACTTCCATTTTCTCAACCTGGATTTTGATTCTTTTAGTGGAGACATGATTAAAACCATACTAGTGCTCATTATTCCACCACTAACTGGATGTGAGCTTGGTCATGTTGCTGAACATTTCTGCCTCAGTACATTGCTTTGCCTTTTTTTTTTTTTTTTTTGAGACAAGGTCTCACTCTGTTGCCCAGGCTGGAGTCAAGTGGGTGGCATAATTACGGCTCACTGCAGCCTCAACCTCATGAGTTCAAGCAATCCTCCCACCTCAGCCTCTCGAGTTGCTGGGAGCACTGGTGCAAGCCACCATGCCCAGCTGATTTTTTTTTCATTTGTAGAGACAAAGTCTCACTATGTTGCCTAGGCTGGTCTCAAACTCTTGTGCTCAAAGCCATCCTCTTGCCTTGGCCTCCTGAAGTGCTGGGATTACAGGTGTGAGGCACAGCCCCTCTCCTTTGCTTTATAAAATGAGGAAAATGATAATTCCAACTTTTATGTAATGTTGTAATAACTAAATAAGTTAATATCTTAATATGCGACCTGGAACATGGCAGGAGGTTAGCAAATATTAGCTAATACATTAGTTCCCTCTTATCCGTGGTTACACTTTCAATGATTTCAGTTACCAGTGGGTAACTGCAGACTGAAAAATATTAAGATATTTTGAGAGAAAGAGCAAGGGAACACATTCATATAACTTTTATTACAATATGTTATTCTATAATTGTTCTATTTTATTATTAGTTATTATTGTTAATCTCTTATTGTGCCTAATTTATAAATTAAGCCTCACCATGGGTATAAATGTACAGGAAAAAACATAAGGTATATAAGGTTTGGTATTATTTGTAGTTTCAGGCATCTACTAGGAGTCTCAGAACTTACCCCCTATAGATAATGGGGGATTCTTATATTCTTAGTAAGAGTGAACATTTTCAGCATCTCTTAGGTGTGATGTTAACATCTGATGTTACTGAAAATTTGCAGATATTACCCGTGGGCTGGCTATTGGCATTCTTTGAGATTTATAGAGAATGAGAGAAATTACAAAAATGGAAAGTAATAACAAGGAGAAATACAGAAAATAATATCGTGGCAAGCTGGATGTGAATATCTATCTAGGCAATGTCTGGAGCTGTCACTGGATCAGCATGTGCTACATATGCCATTTTGTCTGCCCTATCTCCCCATCCAAACAGCTTGGGACCTGGCATCATGTTGGTTTGCTAGGGCTGCTGTAACAAAGTACCACAAATTGTGGGGCTTAACAACAGAGATTTATTGCCTTGCAATATTGAAGGCCAGAAATTCAAAATCAATGCATTGGTAGGGTTAATTCTTTCTGAGGGCTGTGAAGGGAGGATGTGTTCCAGCCCTCCCTTTTGGCAAGAAGATGGCTATATTCACATTTGCATGGCGTTTTCTTTACATCTTCAAATTGTAACCCCTCTGTGCATGTCTGTGTCCAAATTCCTCTTTTTTATAATGACACTGTCATATTAGATTAAGGCCAACCCTAATGACCTCATTTTAACTTGATTGCCTCTATTAAGATTCTAGCTCCAAATAAGGTCATCTGTAACACTCTGCTCTCTGGCTGCCCCAATATTTATGTCCTTCTCACATGCAAATATATTCACCCCATCTCAACATCTTCAAAAATCTTAACCCATTTCAACATCAACTCTAGTCCAAAATCTCACTTAATGTCATCTCAATCAGGTATGGGTGAGACTCAAGATTTGATTCATCCTAAGGCAAAATTTCTCCCCAGCTGTGGACCTGTGAGTTTAGATGGCACACTATCTGGCTAGGGATCAGAGAATATATGTACAGAGATTTATAATGCAAGCATTGGTCTATAAGGAAGTCATGTGCCATGACTTTTAGTTAGATTTTGGGAACTATAATGAACATATTGCTTTATTTCTGAAGACATTAATTATAAAAATTGAAGAATGGAGAGGAGAGGGAGAAGGACCTGAGAAATTATGTTCTAAAAAGCTTGATGTGTATATGTAGAAAAATCATCCTGCAATGGAACATGAAACCTCAAAGAGACATGAATCTCCAATTAAAACCTGAGTGACAAAATTCTGAAGGGCTACAGATACAGGGTATATTTTACATTGAATAGAAGAAACAATCATGTAACTGTGAAGTATCCAAAACTTAACTCACAGCCCTTCTTTCTATACAACACTATTTCTTACAGAAAGCACTAAACTATCTAATATACAATTTTGCCCACATAATCACCCTGAAAGCATTTATGTAATCAAAGGGAGCCTCTGGGAATGGAAACGGGAATCTGGAAGTGAAACTCAAGAAAGATTTCATCACTGCACAAACAATTTCAAATTAAGCACTAATCAGAGGGGAAAATTAGGTTTATTCACAGGGGCCACTCAAAATAACCCTCTTAATAATGTAGAAATTGGCTGTAGCTAAAGCCCTACAAGTCTAGACACAAATACATTTAAAATACAGCAAAGCCAGTCAATATAAAATGTAGCAAATACAAGAAGTCAATGTAAAATAGATTTCCCAGATATGAGGAACGTAGTTCCAGGATTGTAGGCAAACTGCTCAGGAAAAAAAAATATATTATTTAGCAAAATTTTAGATTTATAAGACATATATCTGCTTTTATTAGTATCCTAACAAAATGACTTTAATATTCTCTTTCACTAATCAGGACAATTGCTGACCAAAAACAAAGCAGTCACTAGACTCTCTGGTCATATACGTCAAGCTAAAAAAAAAAATATATATATATATATATATATATGTATATATATATAGTTCAAAGAAAAGAGAAAAATAAGAAAAAGAAAGACATAAATTGGTGGCTGGTCTCCCCGAGGGTGGCATTAAACTCACATGAAGTTGAATTCTGATAGATTCTGGAGGATACATAGGGTTAACTGACATCCCCCCTATCTTCGCCCCCAGAGCCACACCAAATCCTGAGATACAAATCTCTGTGGCTGATTAAAGGTTTTCTGGTAAGAGAGTCTATCTGGTAGATAACAAGAGGCAGAGCTGTGACTAAGATCACTTAGTGACAGTCTCACCCTTAATGTGGGTGTTCTTATTTTCCCTTCTCATTTATCTTCCTATTGTTTCTTACTATCTCTTTTCACACTCCTCCATTTTCTTCTCTTCATACCTTTCCCAGGCTCAAGATCCTTGTACCAACATTGTTTATACCTGCAGATGGTCAAAGAGTCTGCTGACCTCTGCCTTCACTCATGAAATTTTCAAATACACCTGCTCCCATGCCTTGCAAATGGGCCCCATCTGAACCTCCAGTCACACTGGGGTGCCCTGCATCCCTAACTAGAGAATACCTAGTCTCCAGACAACCAGAGGAAAGCATTCTGTCTTCAGAAAAAAACACTAAGTATTCTCTGGCCCTGAGATCCCTCTAAAGTTGAGGTGAAGGGTTTGGAAAAACTTGAACCAAACTCTGTAAGCTGGATCAAGTTTCTCCGGTGATAAATGATTTTTTTAAAAGAAAAAAAAAATAAATGCGCTAAAGAGGTTATCAACATTCAGTCACCAATATCTGAATAATACAGATAAAGTTAGAGATAAACAGTTGGCCTGAAGATGCTCTGACCAATTTGATACCAATTAGTCACCTGTTGTTATTCTACTTTAAATTGAATTAAATTAAATTTAAAATGCCATTCCTCTGTCACACGACATTTCAAGTTCTCAGTAGCCACATGCATTTAGAAGCTACTGCATTGGGCAGTGAAAATGTAGAAATGTAGACCATTTCTGGTTATTAGAGGAAGTCCTGCTGGATAGCATTGGAAATCAGAGAGAGAGAGAGAGAGAGAGAAACAGAGAGAAACAGAGAAAGAGACAGAGAGAGACAGAGACAGAGTTAAAAGAAAGGGAAATAGGAAAAAAAAAGAAGAGAAAGGCAAGACAAAGAAGAAGGAACAAACAGTAATTGAAAGAATAAAACTGCAGTCTGAAATGGAGACATCTTCCTTCAGGCTCAAGTCACTCTCTGGGAGTCATGTGAATAATATGTTAAGAGATGCACAGTTTCCCAAGTGTTGATTTTAAGAGGCTGTCTTGCATCCAAGCAAATGAGTGTGGGGACTTACCTACACAGGAGGTTAGAGTTCTTGCAGCATTTAGCTGCTTTGACCTGAATCTACTCATTTTCATTTAGATATTTTCCTTGCAGCCTGCCAGTGAGCATCCTGGATCACTTCCCCACCTGGTCCCTCTGAATCTGGGAATGATTATGGCAATGAGGCTGGAACAACACATGTATTAGAAGTGAAGAGCATCACTGAGAATTTAGAGACTGTGTCTAGTTTGGAAGAACCCAAGGGAACTTCACAAAAAGTAATCAGAGTGAGTAGAGACGGATACATAATGCAAAGTGTTCCCTCCAGAAACTTTACTTCGACAAGAACAAGAGCATTTCCCTGAAGGACATGAATAATGTGAAGTGTAACCGTTCACCATGCTTCTCCAAGGCACCAAATGGGCTTTTAAGGCACACATTCCTGGGGGCTTAACAATGGATTCAAAATAGAAACTGTAAATTTGTTCCTTGTCTTTCTAAGTTTTCAATGAGAAGCACACAATGTTGGGTTGTTGTGCCGCCTGCCTTTATCAGGTAATAATACACTGGGAGGTTTATTTTTTTAAAAAAAATAGATTAGTAACACCTCAGAGGTTTCAGTATTCTTCACCCTCTAGTTTATGTAGTCAACCACAGGCCCCAGAGCAGACTCTGACAGCCTTTGAAAATATCTGCAGAATACAATGTGAAATGTCAGCTTACTTTATGATAAAACAACAATAACAAAGATATCATTTTCATTTAGAAGCCCTTAGAATTAATAAGCCTATGTACTAGTCATTTCTTCAGAAGAGAGAGCAGGAGAAGGTACAAACAAAGAAAATCACTCCAAATATGTCCAGATGCTACTGTAAGGAGAATGAGCCTCAAATTTCTTCTGCTTCACTTCTTTACCTCTACTTCTGAAACACCATTTTTATTCCAATATCCTCCTTCTCGATTATTTTTCAACAAGGAGCCCTGTGAACCACCTGTGGTCAACAGAAACCTCTTGCTGCAGACATAACTGCTTCCTACTATTCCTAGTCAGAATAATTTGTCCTGTTCCCACTATTTTTGGATCCTGATCTCTTAACATCTTAAATGCTGAACATCTAGGCCAGGAAAGGCACAGTTTAGTGAGATCAGTTAGAGTAGAAACTCTGCAGCCACACTCCCTGGGTGTGAATTCTTTGTTCTGCCTTATTATGTGTGTCACCTTCAGCAAGTTATTTAGTCCCTTTGAAATTCAGGTTCCTCCTCTGTAAAATAAACTTGTTAGGAGGTTTGAATGAGTTAATATCTCTGTAGCACTTAGAACAGTGCCAATAGTTGATTGATTGATTGTCAGACAAACAGGTGGATAGACTGACAGGCACTTGGGAAGTGTAGTCGAAGTCCAGCATTTATCCTTATTCATTCATTCATCTGCTATATGAAAGAAACTAATGGATAGGAAAATAGCTAAGACATAGTCCATGCACTTAAACAGCTCAAAATTTAATGAGAGACAGACATGTACTATAAAAGATTGTAATGGCTGCAATAGAGTCAGATACTGCTTTGTAAGTAGTAATTAATTCTTCCTGAGGGTTTAGGGAAAGATTCACAGACAAACCTGTGCCACTCTACAAGTTCAATATACATCCAGAAGCCACTGGGAATGATGTCAAGGGTGAGGTGAGTGAGAATCAAATATGACATGTCTATAGATTATCCTTCTCTTAGTATAGTCCCCACTACAAGATTACTCATACACACACTGGCTCCCCAGTTGAATGAACACTTTAACCTGCTTTTGCCAACACTTGAGGAGTTAAAGCTCCTCTGCAGCCCTATTACTTTGAACGTAGCCATTATTCCTTATTAAGCAGTAAGCAGTCAATCATTACAGCCACAAGTAGCCACACACTCAGGTGTGTATGAATACACACACATATATGTACATGCATGTATATATACATGCACATGTATTATGTAAATTTGCTTAATAATACATATTAATATACACATATATTAACACATATATACACATATATTAACCATCTGAGTGGTTGACTTTGTTAGCACTCAGAGAATAAAAATAATTATAGATGCTTGCTCATAGAGTTTGTAATACAGTGAAAGATACTACATGCCACCCAGGCATAGACGCAGCTAGCATAAAAGGGAAAAGGAGAGGGGGATTGGATTCGTAATTCTTTAAACATTGTCAAGAAATGTGGTAAATCTATTTTTAGATGATTTTAGTAATGTCTACCTGTAAGCACTATTACCACTAAGCAGCAAACAAAAGCCACATTCTCTCAGCAATGTTGCACTGAAGATCTATGCTGTCCCCCTGTCAGATACCTTCTAAAAGAGAACAGTGTTCTATTTAGTGTCCATGATTACAGAAGAGAGGTCTTCATTTAAGGACCAAGAAATATCCTTGAGTGCCTTCTACCATTTCAAACATTTTGTTTGTTTGTTTTGCTATCTAGAAATGAATGGATTGGGCTAAATTATTTAAAAAAAAAAAAAAAAAGACTTCCAATTCTGATGTTACCCTAAAGACAGAATACAAGCATTCCTGGGGGTGGCACCCAAATTCCACCTTCTTTGCTTCTGTGTTCCTCTTCTTCTTCAGCCAAAATATCCTTGTTTAATTGCATTACCACATAATTCAAACTACAGAACCTCTTTGGAAGCCATCTTGGACTTTTAAATTTTGGCCAATCAAAATATATTTATATGTCTACTTTCAAAAAATATTCTGTCAAGGAAACCACAAAAAGAAAAGTACTTTTCCCATGAAATTTTGGCAAGTTGCAAGCAATCTAGGTTTTAGTTGATTAGAACTACATATTCAAGTTTATGTGGCTCACAACACAGGAATATTCATAATATTCTATTAAGACATTTCAAAACTATATATATCAACCCTAAATTTACTACTGATCATGTTCCCTGGGTGGACTACTTCAGTGGACAGAACCTTTATCTAGTATGAGTTTTCCAGAGACCTTTAGTCCTCCAGTGATATTAAACTGAATCTGCAGAAGGCTTTGAATTCTCTTGTACTATATACAATATGGGGTTCTAATAGTCGATACGCTTTGGAGTATGTTGTTTTCAAAATCTTTGCACCTTATTTTCTCTCACCTCAAACCAAGCACCAACAAGAGGTAGTTTCTGCCAACGTTCAATGTCACATTAGGCATGAAACGAAAGGTATAAAATATTTGGTTTGGCTTACATCTTTTTCTGTTAGTGAAAAGAATGTCCTCCATTGCTTTGTTCTCCAGTTCTGTCTCTTTCCAGATACCTCTGATGTGGGAGGCAAGGGATACTACTCAGAGAATTTGCTGAGGGTCGGCCTCCATGGTCTGACACAAGCCCAGATGAGGCTTTTGTGTCCACTAGTTCCCTCCAACTTATGCTAAATGGTGAATTCATGGTTAGCCAAAACATTCGTTCTTTTCCCATGAAATGTAGCTTAGCATTTATCAGAATGTAGGTTGATGGGGGTTTTGTTTCATTCAGATTTCGTTTTCTATAGCAGTACTCATTAGTAATAATAGCTATGACTGTTCTCATTCTTTGAACACCTACTATGTTTCACAGTCTGAATCAATTGCTTTTCAGGCAGTATTTACCAAAGGCTTCTTAACATTTTTCTCAGCTCGATCAAACTTTACATTCTATTTCCTGCCTCTAGGCCCCTGACCTCCCTTTCCGTGGAAAACTTTCTTTATAAAACTTGTAATTGTAAATTATTTCCCTGTCCCTTTGAGGTGTAAATATTTTTAAAGGTTTCTTACCAGGTATACAACCTACGAATATCATTCTCAAATTTCTGGGAGCCATCCCTTTGAAATGTAAACGCTAAGGATGATAGAACCTCAATGTGTTAATATCTCCCAGTTAGAGACAGGAGGTAGGAAGCTAACTTTGGTTGGTGCCTTGCATCTACCAAATTACCATTTACAAACTGCCTTTTGTCATGAAGATACAAGAAAGTTTTACCTTTACCTACAGGCAAAGTCAATTAGCAAACCCTGATGGCCTATAATAACCCTACCCTAGCATTTAAAACTCTGGCCTCTTGCTCAGTGGAGTTCAGCTGAGTGTCTCTTCTATTGCAAGTCTTAAAGTCTTGTCTTTTTAACTTTTTCCCATACACTTTTGTTTTAACACTATCTTTAACATTTAAAATATCATATTATAGGTGAAGAAACTGAGATTCAAAGTGGATCAATTGCTTGCTCAGGGTCATGTGATGTACAGACTGGAATTCAGGTTAGTTGGCTCCAGTGCAGCAGGCTTCCCACTATACTTCGTGCTACTCATTCTCCTCAGAACACATTAAACGTTACATCTTTATTTCTCTGAGCTTGAAATGGTAGCTCTCTGGAATAAATCTAGCTGCTTACATGGTACATATACGATTGTAATACCTGTTTCAGAGCCTGGGTTCATGCTTTTAAAAATGCATAGTTTCTTAAACTGAGTTACTGCTTCTATACTCTAGCAGTCCTTGTATTTCCCTAAAATTCCTAAACCATTATTATACAAATGTCAATTTCCCCAAAAGGAATTAACATTTCAAAACTGAACTCCAACTTTCTCACCAAATGTCCTCTACCCACATCACAATTGATGTTAAATGTATACATCTGTTAGACCAAAACTGTTGGAATCACCTCTGACTCCTCTGTCTCTCACTCCCCACTCCAAATGCATTAGCAAATCCTGTTGTATCTTCAAAGTGTATCCAGAATATGACTATTTCTCTCCATCTCCACGGCTACAACCCTGGTCTAAGCCATCAATACTTCTGACCTGGATTATTGCTGGAATCCTAACTGGACCTTTCCGTCTCTACAGTCACTTCTCAACACAGTGACCAGAGTGATACTGTTAAAAAATAAGTTAGGTCACATCACTTCTTTGTTCATAAATCTCCAATGTCTTCCCACCTCGTTCAGGGTAGGAACTAAAGTTTTTACTATGGTGGCAAGGCCCTACATGATCTAGTCCTGGGTTACCTTTCTCATGACCTTATTTTCCTTTCCTCTCCTCTACTCTCCTCACTTTGCTTTGGCCACAATGACTTCCTGATTGTTCCTAAAATAGAGTGATATGCTCTCCCCTTAGGGCGTTTGCATTTACTATTTCCTGAGGCTGCACCACTCTTCCCTAACCTTGGCAAACTCTTAACCTCCTGCAAGCAATCACTCACTGGTCATCATATATACTAAAGAAAACTTCATCCCATCATCCACCTCCCCACACCCAGTGCATCCCAGGGCCACTTTATTCTGTTCTAATATTTCCCCAAAGTACTTATTGCCTTCTAACACTGTGTAATTTTAAAATTATGATTACTATTCATGGTACACTTGCTCTGTTAGCGTATAAGCTCCACAGTGTTAGGAGTTTTGTCTTTCTTCATTGATCATAAGCATTAGAACAACATCTGGTTTGTGATAGATGTTACAGGCTGAACTGTGTCTCCCCAGATGTATTTGTTGAAGCCCTAACCCTCAGTACCTCAGAATGTAACTGTATTTGGAGCTAGCACCTTGAAGGAAATGATTAAGATAGGGCAATTAGGGTAGACCCTAATCCAACCTGATTGATGTCCTTTTTAGATTAGGACATACCGATAAACATCAAGAGGATGAATGCATGGGTGATATATTTTGTATATCTGTCCCTTCCACTTCTCATATTGAAATGTGTTCCCCCATTGGAGGTAGGGTCTGGTGGAAGGTGCTGGATCATGGAGGAAGAGCCCTCATGAATGCTTTGACACCAACTCTTGGTGATGAGTGACTTCCAATTCGATTAGTTCACACAAGAGCTAGTTATATAAAAGACTTTGACATTCTTTTTTCCCCCATCTCTCACCATGGGACAAGCCTGCTTTCTCCTAACCTTCTGCCATGAGTAAAATCTTTCTGAGACCTTTCCAGAGGCCAAGCAGATGTTGGTGCCATGTTTATGTAGCCTACAGAACCATGAGTCAAATGAACCTCTTTAAAAAAAAAAAAAATACATTACCTAGTCTCAGGTATTCCCTTACAGCAATGCAAAATGAACTAATATAGAAAATTGATATTGAGGGATGTGGAGTGGTGCTATAAAGCTACCCAGTAATATGGAATGAGCTTTGGAACTTTGTAACAAGCAGAGATTGGAAAAGTTTGGAGGGCCCAGAAGAAAGCTGGAAGTTGAGGGAAAGTTTGAAACTTCTTAGAGAGTTGTTAAATGATTGTGATCAAAATGCTGACAGACGTATAGACAGTGAAGGCCAAGCTGTGGAAGTCTCCAGTGGAAATGAGGAACTGATCAGGAACTAAAGCAATGGTCATCTTTGTTAAATCTTAGCTATCTCTGTGGTCATGGCTGGAAGCTGTGCTTCTCAGCCTGTGGGATGGCCACCTTGCAGACTATAACACCTTATAAAAAGTAAAGTCTCCTTTCCATTCAAAAAAAAAAAATCTTAGCAAACAACTTTTCTATGTTGTGTCTCTAATCTAGAGATGTGTGGAAGTTTGAACTTAAGAGTGAAGAGTTAGGGCATCTGGCAGAAGAAACTTCTAAGCAGCCAAGCGCCCAAGAGGTGGGATGTCTTCTTCTGACAATCCAGACTCAGATATGGGAGCAAAGAAATGACTTACTGTTGAAATTTACATTTTAAAAAGAAGCAGAGCACAACGGTTTGGAAAATGTGCAGCCTGGCCCTGTGGTAGAGATGGAAAAAGCATTTTCAGGAGAGGAATGCAAATGGGCTTCCAGGTGCTAATATCCAAAACAATGTGAAAAATGCCTTGAGGACATTTCAGAAATCTTTGGGATCATTTGCCCATCACAAGTCCAGAACGTAGGAGGAAAGAATTGTTTCAGAGGTCAGGGCTGGGCCCTCTTGTCCTGCTCAGCCTT